GACAATGACTAAGGATGACAGAAGAAGGATTGAAGCCTTAGAATTGTGGTGCTGGAGAAGAGTCTTGAATATACCACCGACTGCCAAGAAAACAAATAAGTCTGCCTTCGAGAGATGAAATCAAGTCTCTCCTTGGATACTAGAATTTTGAAACTCCACCTCACATACTTTGGTCATGTGACCAGGAAAGAGCGGTCCTTGGAGAAGGACATCATGCTTGGAAGGGTGGAGAGAGTGCAGGAGAGGAAGACCCCGAATGAGATGGATTGATACAGTAACTGGGTCAATGGGAGTTGGTGTGTTGGAATTAGTGAGACTGGCTCAGGACAGGGCAGGCTTCAGAGCTGCTCTACATAGGATCCCTGTGAGTTGTAGGCAACTCAACAGCACATAACAAACAACAACTGGGACAAAGATGAAGCAATCTTCTTCTGTAAGAATTTATAGCCTTAAAAAAAAAACAACCCCAGCGGGCAGGTTTACTTTGTCCTTTAGAGTCATTGTGAGTTGGAATTGTAGTAGTAGTTTTGCTTTGAGTTTAGTCCTGTTCACCTCCATACCCCCTGCTCACCTCATTTATATCAATCTTAGAAGCAAATTCACAGACATAGGGAACAGCATCCTTTCAGTGTTCACAATGCCAGCAAGCAGGACAAAAATTTTCTTCAACAGAATGAAAGTGAACAGCCAAAGGGTGAACCATTTGCTGCCAATTTCAAGAATCACTTGGAATCACCTGGTTAGGACAGTTTAGTCAATTGTCTCCTTTCAAAAGGCCTCTTACTTTTCTTTAAAAATTGGCTACAAATGATCCCACTGCATTCCTCTAACTCTATCCTATGAGAAGATACAGGAAAGAACATAAGCATACAATCATTCCTTCAGTCAGTATTTTGGAAGACCCACCCTGAGCGAGGTTCTTAGTGCAAATAGTATGCTAGCTGTGCCTGATACAGGCCACGGTCTTTACAATTACTTGCTTTGCATCAGAAAGCTGGACAATGACTAGGGAGGATAGAAGGAGAATTGATGCCTTTGAGCTGTGGTGCTGGAGAAGAGTATTGAATATATATGGACTGCTAAGAAAACAAACAGGTTTGTGCTGGAGAGGGTTAAACCAGGCTGCTCCTTGGAGGCAAGGATTCTGAAGCTTCGTTTGACATACTTTGGATGTGTTGCAAGGCAGAATAAGTCCTTAGAGAGGGGCATCATGCTTGGGACAGTGGAGGGACAGCATAAGAGAAGAAGACCCTTGATGAGGTGGATTGATTCAGTGACTGGGATAATGAGAATAGGTGTGTCAGAGACAATAAGATTGGCACAGGATAGAGCAGGGCTTAGGTCTGTTGTACATAGGGTCACTGTGAGTCGCAGGCAACTCAGTGGCACATAACAGCAGCAGTTTAGAAGTTCTGATCCACTATATGGAACCATGCAAGAAAGACCTAGCAATCTACTTCTATAAAAATTGTTATTTGCCATCAAATCAGAACCAACTCATAGCTGATGCTTCAGTGGATTTTTAGAGGCTGTAAATGCACAAAAAGAGATTGCCCAGGTTCTCCTTCAGAACAGCAGGTGGATTCAAACCTGCCTTTGGGTCAGCAAGCACAACTTCTTACTACTAGATCACCAGAGCTCAAATTACAGCTTCTGAAACCCCTGTCAAGTGCAATCCTGTGCTGAAACATGTGGGATTGACATAAGTCAGAATCAAATTGACAAAATAGATTTTTAGTTTGGTTTTCTCTGAGCTAAAGGCTGAGGACACAGCTATGCACAGTTTGTGGTCCCTGCTGAAAGCTTTACTCTTCAGCAGTGAAACAGACTGACAATTAGATGATCACTTTCATTTGAGTAAGTGCTACAAGAATGAAATTCTAATCATTTATATTTATAACCATGCTTGCAGAAAACTAAGAAGACTTGAAGCACTATCGATGAAGCTCAAAGACTCTTCGGTATGGATTATACCTCTACATAAAGAAAGTAAAAGTCTGCAAACTGGATAAATAAACAATATCATGATAGAGAAAAGACTGAGGTCAATAAGGATTTTCTTCCCCTTGGGTTCACAATCAATATCCATGAAAGTAACAGTTAAGAAATCTTATACTTTAATATATTGGGAAAATCTGCTGCTAAGGCTTCTTTAATGTGCTAAAGAACAAGGATGTCCATTTAAAAACTAAGATGTGACCAACCCAGTCCAAGAATTTTCCAACTGCTTCTCATGCATGTGAAGATCATACAATAAGGAAGATGGAAGAAAATTTGATCCTTTTGCATTGTAGTGTTTGCAAAGAATATCAAGGATACTACCCATGAACTAACTACTAAATCTGTCTTGAAGTGTAATCAGTGCTCCATGAAAGGATGGTGAGACTTGTCTCACGTACTTTGGGCATATTGTCAGGAGATAACATGTCTCTGAAGAAGACATCATGCTTAGAAAAGTAGGGGGGTCAAGAAAAGAGAAGAGGACCTTCAATAAGATGGATCGACATTATGACTCCAACAACGGGCTGAAACACAGTGAAGAAACAATGGTGCAGGGTCAGGCAGAGTGTTGTTTTGTTGGAGTCACAGCCAACTAACTGCATCTAATAATAGACTAGGGAGACAAAGCCAGATTAGGTTTAAATCTACTGTGATCAAAGTGATTCCAACTCAGGACAACCCTCCATTCTGAACATTTTTACTGGAGGATATTGACTATCTTTCTCCTGCAGAGTGGCTGGTGGGTTCAAGCTGCCGACATCTTGGTTAGCAACTCCACACCTGAACTGCTCGGTTGCCAGTACCCTTTAGTTAGGTGTCGGGGGAGTAGAAAAATTTGCCCTGAGAATAGAGTGGGGTGTGACCAGTGTTGGATTACCAAGGTGGTGAAACTTACATGAAACTGTGTATTCCATATTAGTTAAGAAACCCAAAATAAGCCTATGTTTACGTTGCTTGTTGGTAATCCATTGCTGGTACACCAAATCTGGTAAGGACTGGTGCTGCCAGGGTGTTTGGATCTACCAGCTGCTCTTTAGGAGGAAAGATAGGCAATTTCCTCCCAATGCAATTTGTTGTTATGTGCCATTAAGTATGGCTCACAGCAACCTTATAAACAACGGATCTGAATTCTGTGCTATCCTGTGCCCTACTCACAATTTCTGACATATCTGAGCTCACTGCTGTCATCAATTTGTCAATCCATTTGGTTAAGGGTTTTTCTTATTCACTGTCCTTCCAAGTTTCCAAGCATGATATCCCTCTCCAAGGAATAGCCTCTCCTAGCAACATGCCCAAAGTATGTGAGCCATAGCTTCTCGGTCCTTGCCTCCAAGGAACACTCTTGGCCGCACTTTTTCCAAGACACATCTGTTTGTTCTTTTGGTAATCAGTGGGATATTCATCACTCTTCTCTAACACCATAGTCCATAGGGAATGAAAAAACAGGAAGTCTAGTGCAGCATTCATGAGTAAAAAAATGATTTCATGTTCTATGAAATGTTGTGCTAGGATATTATCCATATGCATACAAGGAAGACTTGTCTCTGGTGGACTAATTGCCTCCGAACCCCCCAGTTGGTCAGCTGAGTTGGTTTCGACTTGATGGTACACAACAACAAATAGACACACCAATAGCTAAAGCCAAAGAGGAAGAAATAGAAAATTTTTAGCAAATTCTGAAGTCTGAAATTGACCAAACATGCAATCAAGATGCATTAATGATAACTGGTGACTAAAGTGCAAAAGTTGGAAACAATGAAGAAGGAATTGTAGTCAGAAAGTACTAACTTGACAGAAACGAGGCAGGAAATAGGATGATCAAATTTTGGTTGTTCAGTGATTTACTCATAGCAAGTATCTTCTTTAAAAAGCACAAATGGTGATTTTACACATAAACGTCACCAGATGGAATGCAGAGGAATCAGATTGCCTGAATTTCTTGATAGAATCACTGGAGAAGCTCTGTTATCAGCAGTCAAAACCAGGCCAGGTGCTGACTGTAGATCATCAACTACTCATGTGTAAGTTCAAACTGAGGCCGAAGAATATTAAAATACATTCATGAGAACCAAAATATGACCTTGAGTCTACCCCACCTGAATTTAAAAAATCATCTTAAGAATAGGTTTGAAGCATTGAACATGAAAGATTGAAGACCTGATGAGTTGTGGGATGATTATCAAGTATATCCATGAAGAGAGCAAAAAGGTATTTTACAATCTCTGAAAACGTGCTGGAGGATTTAGTTATGAATTGGTTCCAATCTGCGGGCATATAACATTATGCGTGATGCAGAAATAAAATGGAGAGAAAGTAAAAACAAATTCCTAATTAAAAAAAGCAAAAATATTGAATCAGAATCTCTAAAGGATGTACCTGATAATCTAGACTTTAGGCAAATTCCGCAGGTGAGTTTTACAATTGGGCACTAGTGAGATTAAACTGGATTAGTGGGAGGACAGTAGCGGCCTGGCTGGGGACCATCAGCCCAGGTGGCAGCAATTTTGAACTACAGAGCCTTCAATTCCCATACGCCCCCCGCAAATTTAGGCTCGCTGTCAAGGCCTGCCGGGAATTGTAGTTTCCATGAGCCAACCCTCTGCTTATAAGAAAGCCGAGGTTGGGCACTGAAAAACTCCCGCCCCAAAATGCAAAGGTTACGAGTGACGCAACAAGGAACGCGCCAGGTATCGAGAGAAGAGGTCGAGCCTCTGCAACCGCGTTTGCGGCTTGAAGACACGTTTTACCTGCCGCCTTTTCCGCCGCCTACTTTTCCGCCACCGCCTACTTTTCCGCCACCGCCTCCCTCGCCCCCTCCGCCTCCCTCGGCCCCTCAACCTCCCTCGCCCCCACCGCCGCCACCCTCATCGCCATTGTTGCCGCCGTCCCCATCACCATTACAACCGCCGCCACCTCCACTGCCCCCTTCGCAGTTTGCTCCGTTTTCTTTACTTCTTTGGGACTCAACTCATCCGTTACCGGCTGAGCCGGACCCAGGGCTTCTGCTCTGGAGAAGAAACCTTATTCGGTCTCTCTCGCAGAGCCAGGGCCCAGCCATGGCTGATGGTGGCGGGGGGACGGGCGCGGTGGGTGGAGGCGCAGGCCAGGCCTCCGTGGGGCCAGCGTCTGGCTCATCGGGGGCCGGCGTGAGCGGCGGCCCCATCAACCCGGCCTCATTGCCCCCAGGTGATCCGCAGCTCATCGCCCTCATTGTGGAGCAACTCAAGAGCCGTGGCCTGTTTGATAGCTTCCGCAGGGACTGCCTGGCCGACGTGGACACCAAGGTAGCTGAGACAGCCAGGCCCTGGGCTTGACTGGGCATGAGGCTGCCAGTGTTGCATGCCACCTTGGTTTTCTCAAAACCAGGTCCATTTCTGTCTAATCGGTTCTCACTCACAGCAACCTTATAGGGCAGAGTAGAATAACCGCTGTAAGATTTCCAAGGTTGCAGACTTTACAAAAATGGGCTGCCAGGTCTTTCTCCTGCAGAGCAACTGTTGACTTGGGAACACCTACCATTACTCTAACGACGAAGCATTAACTGCACCACCAGGGCTTCCTGGCTTTGCTGAAACTGAGAGTGAAAACAAAAGATAACTTTTAAATCTCAACGCTAAGCTGTAAGACTTCGTGGGGTCGGTGCAGAGTCACGGTCATGAGTATTTGAACTGTGGCTCTGCAGTGAACTCGCGTGTCAAAGTGTGAGGATGGCACAGGATAGGGCAGGGTTCAGATTTCTTGTTAATAGGATCTCTATGGGTTATACTGACTCCATTGCACCTAACAACAACCCATCACTTTAACTAGCTGTATGATTTTGGCCTTCTTAGAACTTTGCAGGGACACACAGGAATCAATGTTTGTTGCAGAACCCCAGTTGTGCCATTCTGGAGATGAAACTCTTTTAAAACCCTGAATAACAACTCTAAATCTGTTAGGAACAGTGAAGAGGACCAGGTAGGAAAGCAAGAATGCTTTAGAGTTTCAGTCAGTTCTCTAGTCACCACTCAGTGCTAACATTCAGGGCAGTGGTTTGATCCTAGCTCTCCATTTGCTCTTTTGCTCTGGCCCTTTGATTTGCAAACTTTGCCATGCAGTTGAAGTCAGCTGTTGGAGAATCAGCACCCTTATGTTGTATCCCATTACTGATTAAAAGGGATATGTTTATTTAAAAAATCTCATGCCATAGGCCAATACCCAGTTAAATGAAACTTCAGTTTATTTCATTGCCAAGGTTTGGTAGGATTCAGTGATATATAATATGTATAAAATGTAAGTCACTTAATTGCTGGGATGTTCATTTTCTCTTTTTCCAAAACTTAAGCAGAACCAAGCTTAACATTTTGGACGCTCTGCTGCTGGCTATATTCCTGTAAAGCAGAAACTCCTTTATCATCCAGTCCATTCGAATTCATGACAGCCTGCCTTCAGGTTTACAAAGCTGTCAGTCTTCATGGGAGCAGACTGCTTCATCTTACTCCGAAAAAATAGCTTGTAGATTTTAATTTCTTGGCCTTTTTTGTCATCAGCCCAACATATAACATGCTATGCCACCATGGCTGATTTTTCCACTTTACACCTTCGGTGGAAATCTTATTGCCTGTTAAGAAGACTGTGATTTGAAAATTAAACATAAGGAGGGAAGTGCTGGTGATCTAGTGGGTAGGGAGCTGCACTGTCAATTGCACGCGGTTTGTATCCATAGGTTGCTCCTCAGGAGAAAGGTGGATAATGTCTTCCCTGCCATTTACAGCCTCTGAAAACCCTCTGAAGTGTCAGCTATAAATTCGTTTCTACTGGACAACAGTGAGAAATCTGTAACCTGTTTGTTTACCAAATGTTATTTGACCAATAACATGCCAGTGAACCTATCTCAAAAGTTCATGTTCTAGGCTAAAAAAAACTTAGAGGTAGACCAGATACTGTATGTAGTAAGTTCTGCATAGTGTTTTTCTTCTCCACAGTAAGCCCTTGTTAGAAGTGCTATCCCAAAAGCCAGTTACTTGGTTTTCTCTATTTAAGCAGTCTAGATACCATATAGGGATTTTGGTGGCGTGGTACGTAGGGAGTTTGTCCTGCTAACCTGATAGCCACACCTCCCTGGTCTCAGTAGGTTTTGTGTGTCTTAATCAGCATGGTTCATCCATGTGATTGGGGAGAGAAATCCCAAAGCTGCTGAGAAGTAGGAGATTAGAAGACAACCAGATATATATTGGGTATCAGTCAAGTCAGTTCTAATTTAGTGTCAGAGTCAAAAAGTTCCCTACAAGATTTTCAAGGCTGGTGGCACAGTGATGAAGTAAGTGCTGGCCTGCTAACCTGAAGGCTAGTAGTTTTAATCTGCCAACAGCTTTTTGGGAAAAATATGTGCTAGTCTCTTCCATAGAGATTTACTACCTTGGGAACCCTAAGGGGCTGCTCTCCTCTGCCCTGTAGGGTCACTTTAGATCAGGATCAAGCTGCTGATAATAATAGGTTACCCTTACAGGATTGGATCTCCTGATCCCATTCTTTCCCTCACAGAAGTGTTGGATATATTAGAACCACTAGCCTTTAAGTTAGCAGCCAAATACTTAACTATGACACCACCAGCAATCCTTGCAGCCTCTTACACTGCAGATGTTAACTGGTGTTTTAATTCCCAAGGACTGTGCTTTTTTTTTTTTTTTTAGCTTTTAATGAACTTTCGTCTTTATTTTTTTTTTTAAAAAAAAAGAAAACC